CATTACTAATTTGATATTAGTAGTAGCATTTTTGCATAATTGAATTCAAAATTTACATATAAATGATAGTCTTGATTTTAATATTTTTTTTCCAATCCTTTTACATGATTAATACTTGTATCATGTATGTATGTGCTATACATGTATATAAATAAATTTACATAATGAACAAAACTTGCTCACTTCATAATAGTACAGAATTGCAAAATGGAAATTTTTCATTTGTGACTATAACATAAGTTTTCTAGTTTATCACTAATATTGTCTTTTCTGATTAAAAAGAAATATCATAACAGAAGATTCAAAAACATCTTCATTTCCATCCTTTCCAACCACCAGGAACTAACAAACAGTCTTCCTTCAAAAATATCATAGCTGCTGTATTGCATGCTGATTAATGATCTGGATTAAAATTAATGTAAAATGACTAGACTAGTTACTTCTGATATCAAAAGAAAAAACTTTTTATTGATGGTTTAATAAAAACAAAATATAAAAAATAATAATTTTATACATATAAAACACACTAACACTCTGTTCTGTGTATCATTTTAATGCTAATGCAGTAGGATTAAGTAAAATTCATATTATTGCTGTAAGTCTTGTACCAATTACATTAAAAATAATTTTGCTTTAAAATTAAATGTATTTCCAAAAGATTTTCTAATTGAATTTATTATTTATGATTAATAAAAATTCTAGCTGTAATTTATTATTATATGCTAATCAAAGAAAAGCACATCAGTTATTACAACAATAATAATTTTTTTTTGTTTTATTTTATTTTGAAAAAATACTTTTTTTTATCCACAAGATATGAAATATTATACTGTGTGTTGACTAACAACAGTGAAGCTATGATCATTGCATTGTTTGTGCAACTCAATACATAAGCTGTAGTTTTAGATCATTTTAATACATAATAAAATCTGAGTGCTGAAAGAAAATATTTTTTATCTATGTATGTATGTCTCTTTAATCCAAAATTAAGTTCTTAAGAAATTAAGAAAATATTTTTTCGTAGATCTCAATGTTAGCTAAAAATATTAAAAAATCTTATTAAAAATTAGTGAAGCTGTNTAGTGAAGCTGTAATATAAAATAACAATTTATTGTGTATTTTATATATATATAGATCATTTTTATTAGAAGCAACATTCTCATATGTGAGTTTTCTTTGTACTTTTAATGCTTTTGAATTAATATATTTTGAAAAAAGATTGAAAATTGTATAATTCATGAAAAGTTTGATTTATGGATTGTTTACAGATTTATAATTGTAATCTGTTTATTTCAAATGCTAATATTTATATCTGATATTAATATTTGTTACATATTTTTATTATATAATATCAAGTATCATTCGTCAAATATTCTTTATATAAAACTAAAAAACTTATTTAAAATTTTAGCAAATTACTATTTATATTGTTTACTTAAGTTGACCTGTATAAATTATCTTTAGAATACCTTATCAAATACAGAAGAGAAATGTTCTCACTTACGGGAAGTGTATGATAATAGAGAAAAAGAACTCAGGTTATTAACTGAAAAAAATGATAAGAACCATAAGGAAATTATTGATTTGAACAAGAAATTGCAGGTAAATAAAATTTTAAAATTAATGTTGTTAAAATTGATTAAAATGTACTTTATTATTACATGGATTTATTATAAACAAATTAATTACAACTAATACATTTTATCTTCTCATAATACATAAAATTGTAATGAAGTTAGCAATAAACCTTTAACAGTGGATAAAGTTGGAGGTGTATTATTTACTTCCTTATGTTAACTACAGTGATTAGTTTAACTTCTATTCAACTTTTATAAAATTATATAAAAATTTTATATTATGATTCATATTAAGTTGACATTTTTTTTCAATAACATGTTTTAGGATTTCTTGAATATGATTACTTATATATTACTGTAAATTTTTTTCAAGCATTGACATATTTGTGTGAAAGAGATTAGTTTAGTTTAATAATATAGTTTGATGAAAGAAGTCACAATAGTTTACATCAAAAAATTATATAGTTAAATACATAAACCATAATATTGCAAAATAGTTTGTATACTTAGCTGGTTGAATATATTTACTAATCTTCTAAATATATAAAATTACATGTCCTGACTGAGTGACTGATTGATTCATCATCACCCAGAGCAAACCACTGAATCTAAAGAGGTGAAATTTGGTACACAGTTAGGGTATGTCATGAAAATACACACTAAGAAGGGATTTTTGGAAATTCCCCCACAGGGGAAGAGGGAGAGGATTAAGGTTTAATCTGAAGAACGGCTTTTACTGTACTATTTTAGATGCAAGTTTTTTGTTTTTAATTATGTTTTAGTAGGGTATGCAATGAGAGTGCACACTAAGAAGGGATTTTTCGAAATCCCCCATGGAGGAGAGGGATAGGATTAAGGCTTAAAAAGTCTTAGCCCAAAAGGCATTACCACAAACATGTTTTACAAAGAGGTACTGGGGTACTGAAACTCTATTTTTCAGTAAATATTTATACTTTAGGAATTTTCAGATAACATCATTTATGTTTCAAAAAAAAATTGAACTCTAATTTATCGTATCTCGGAATCCCATAATATTTGAAACTTGAATTTAGGTGCATTAGCAGTCCATAGTTTGAAACAAACAAAAATCAATAATTTTACAAAGTTAGTAACACCTAATGATTGAGAATCTTAGTGAAGTACCGAGGGAGGGTTATTTCTATCATATTGCAAAATCCACACAGGCAAAGTCATGGGTAACAGCTAGTAACTTATAAACAGCTTATTAAAAAAAGTTTGGAACTTCTATAACTGTAATTATAGTCTATATCTATTGATTTTCAAAATGATGAAACACAAAACTGGAAATTATTGATTTCTCCTTGTGAATTCCATTATATGTTGGTATGGTGTGTATATAAACTTAGAGTATAAAAGCTTACAACAATTTTATAAGAAAAGAAATTTAAATTTAAAAAAAAATTATTATTACAGGAAGCTGAAGAGAAACATGAAGAAGCCAATCTTAAATTAGAACATGAAAAACAACTTCTTGAACAACAGCTGGAAGAAAAGAAAAAAGAGAGTGAAATATTATCTGCTAAGGTAAAAAAAATATTCATATTGTATAGGGAGAAAACAGATTATTTGACAATTTAACTGTTTTATAGATTGAAAGCATTCAAGCTGATTGTGATTTTACAAAACAGCAATTGGTTGTGATGAAAGGTAATGAAAACTTTACTCTTCTAGTTTCAAAAATTCTAATTATATAATTTGCATATTTGACATCTTGTTTAGCTCGTTTTGAACAAATGAAAAAAGAACACAATTTGGATGAAAATGTAGACAGTAATGGAATATCAATAATCACACAAGGTATGTGAAATAATACAAAGCTAAGAACTAAAGTTTTTTACATGAAAATGTGGATAATTTGTTTGTTTGTTTTCTACAATTAGATGTTATTTTACCAAATGATGATGATGAAATTGGGAAGCTTAAAGGTACAATAAAT